CACTGGTCCTGAAGGGATCATCTGTCCTGGATTCCCTGTGTTTCCAGTTCCTATCTGTACCAGTGCACATCCTATGGTCTAGCCGGATTTGTAAGGTAGAATTGGGATCGTGATAGTGGAGCGGGGGTGGGGGTGGGAAGAAGCATTTGGGAACTAGAGGAAAGCTGTATGTTTCATCGCTTTTGAATTTCTTATCAGGTAGTTCCAATGCCATTTATTCCTCAGAAAATAGTTCTGGATTTGTTTTATGGTCCCTTGTCTGAGACGCTCTGTGGTGTTTCTCTGTGTAAATGTCATGTCTCAGTGACATTGTGGTTTGGGGGTGTTGTATTTGTATTTAATTGATTATGTAGTTTGGCATTCACCACCTGCTTTCTGGCAGATATGATAGAGAATGTGATGTGTGCGGTTATATGTTCACAGTTTAGGCAGGGCAGTTGAGAGCAGTTGGGCTGGTGTTTCCTGCAGTCTGTTGTTATTCTGCTGGTACAAAGCAGGCAGTGGTCCTCACTGAGGAGATGGGGCTTCAGGAAATACAAGTGTAGTGGGGTTGTGTTGCCATGATTACTATCTTGCTGTCTCGTGTCAGATGAGAGAAGAACAAACAAAATAGCAACAACAGCAAGCGATCCCAAACCAAACAACATAACAAAAAGGACATGATAAATAGTAAACAAATCAACAAAGGAGGCAAATCATGTAAACAATAGCAAGAAAAAAAAGAATGCAATAACTGAAAAGGAAAAGAGGGAGCAAAATAAAATCAAGGGAAGAGAAAAATGGAAGGACAATGAAAAAGTGAGGGAGTCAGAAAAGAAAAGAGAAAAGATAATAAGAAAGAAAAAACTAAGAAGAAAAAAAGGAAAGAAAAATGAAGGGGGAAGAAAAAAGAAGCATAAGAAATGAAAGAAAAAAATGATAAAAATGGGAAAAATAAAATAAAAACAGAGGAGAAAACTGGGGCAGGAGCTGAGTCTAAAAAGGAGGGAACTGTGACAAGAAGGTCCCCAGGTAGGGATTAGTTGCTGTGCTCACCAAGGAGCTCCTAAGTTATAGTGGGGAGGCATGAGGGTGTGGGACATCTGGTCCAAGATGTCATTCTGGATGGTCTTTGGGGTCAGGGTACCTGGTTTGAAAGTAGATTGTGCTAACACAGAGTGTCTTTGGTCAGCGTGCTTGTTCCTGGAAGAAACAAGAGAGCAGTTGTTGGTGGTGGGGGGACTACTGGTTATTGAAAGTGTTCTTGCCTGTCTTCAGATAGCCTGTGACAGTCTATCACTCTGTGTTCCATTGATCTGATTAGGCAGCGTTTAAACCCCTCTAGACACAGGGGTGGTATATTCTGTGCTTGGTCCATGGGGAGTGTGCTTCTGTCTGTCTCTTCTCTTGCTGCTTTGGTTCAACTTTTTCTCCTAGTGCCATTCAATCCACTTCTTTGTCCTTTCCTCTGAAGCTCAAGTTGCGAGATTATAGTTTTTATGTTTTATTTGGTCTCTCGTGTATTTGTTGTAGATGGTCTGGGTAGTGTGTTTGCCTAGTCTGCTATCTTGTAAAAAAAAAAAAAAGTCCCTAGTTGTTTGGCTTTGATGCGTTCAGATATGTTTTTATTTTCTCGTCTAGTATGAGTTTCTTTGAAGTTGGTTTTTTAGAGATCAAGAACAGCTCAGTAGTTGCTAGGACATAGTGATGGGGTAGGATCTAGTAAGTACAGAGAAATAGCACAAGGGAGTCCTTCTGTGGTGGTGAAACAGTTCCATATCTTGATTGTGGCGGGATTACAGAAAACTATGCATAGGATAAAATTGAATCATAGAATTACACACACACACATTCAGATGAAAAAATGGAAACATTTTAATAATGTTGTCTAGTTCCCAATGTCAATTTTCTGCTTGTGTTAGCATTCTCACTGGATGCAGTTGAATCAATTTTCAACTCACAGTAAACACATTCACAGAATAGAACTTCCCTAGGATCTTAGAGGCAGTAATCTTTGGGGGAGCAGTCACCAAGTCTTTCTCCCACGTAGCAGCTGGGTAGGTCTAAGCTGACAATCTCTTCATTAGTAGTGGAGGGCTTACCAACCATTACATCATTGTCACCATTGAAGGGAGTTTGGTGAAGAAAACCAAAATATTATCTTATAGCTTCCTGTGAACCTCAACAAATGTAGCATGGTACATTGCTTTTTTAAAACCCCTTCACAGAACTTGAATGAAAAGTAGTGGAATATGAAGTAAAAATAAAGTATATACTTACATTCATTTTATTTCTGTATTAGAAAATCACACCAAAAGTTGTGAGACACATTGAAAGCAATAAATGTGTTATGTCCATATTTTCAGAAAGAAAGAAAAAACTATTAGAATTTTTTCTGCTTTGTTTTCTTTGTTTTAATAATAAGGGAGGAAAACAAGAAAGAAAACAAAACCTGAGCTGTAAGGTAAAAGAATGATCACAGGAACAAATCCCAGCAAAATAGAAAGGAGATTTCAGGCTGGCAGTTGCACACCAACAATGGAGGGGGTGATTCTGTATAATTCAAGCTAGAGAAATATGCTGATTTAAATTTGAAATGGAACTTTGGAATTGCAGGCATAAGGTAATTGTATTCAGCAAGTCAGGCAACTCCAGTGGTGGCTCCTTCAACACAGTGGGAT